TGTGAGTATTAGGAGTCGTGGATTCGCATTGTAGTATTATGAGCCCCATATCAAGATGAAACTGCCATCTAGTACCCCAGTCGGCGAGGGCGGCAAGGCGGGCTTACCCAGATAGACCTGGCACCCCTAAGCGGATTACCGAGCCACCAAAGCAATGCTCTAGCCAGCAGCCTTTCCAACCGTCTGGCCTCCAACTGCCTTGCGCTGGTACAATCGATCCGAGTCCCCAAGGCTCCACATGACGCTAAAGATTCAGTTTGTCCCACAAGGTCAGCCGGGACGTACACCTTTCCATGAGGAAGATTTCATGAGCTCGACCAAGCGCAAGCGCCCAGCCAAACAGGTTTCATCCCACATTGGCGTCCAGTACCAGTTCAGCGCTGGAACCCCGGAACCATACTGGAGACCCTTGTTTAAGGGGCCTAGACAGCAGTTCACACACTCCATCGGGTACAGAGTGTAAAGGACAACCACATAGGGTTGGCGTCAATAGTCCAGGATGTTTACGGCTGTTTCCCCTAACAGAACGTCCAGGATCGCCTTCAATCATCCTGGGAAGCTACATCCCTTTCAAGGTATTTGCTAATACGGAATGATGGAGGAAAAGTCCTCAAACTATTATCGGAATTTACCTACACTCGATGGACGGGATCCAGACTTAAAGACGTTCAGTCCCCTAATCCCCCAGAGTGTCTAAACGCATCCACAGCCTTGCGACCATGAACACGTACCATTATTCTGGATCATGCTAGGCACGGTATCCTAAGCGTTCGGAACGGCTTTTAGCCGCAGCACTGTAAACAACGCCACGTTACCTGGCACCACTACGAAGAGTTAGCCACCACCACAACCCCTAGAAGACTCCATTTATGCGCGTCACCTAATATACGCATTCAATTAGATGACGAGGCATTTGGCTACCTTAAGAGAATCATAGTTACTGTCAGTAAATCATTCTTCTTACTATCAACTTGTATGTACTTTTAGATAGTGAATGTAGTTAGTTATATAACGTAACAATTTGTTTTCATATTCTAAAAACCGTTTGATTTAATATTTTTTGTTTGTTAAATAAACAATTTCCATCTCGTTCATCATTGATTTAGTTAATAAATTAATTTTTTTTGAAAAAAAAAATTAAGTGACATTGTAATTTTAACCCGATAGGTGGTGTAATTAATGATTTTTCCGCTAAAAAAATAAAATGTATCACTTGTGTTCAATATTGTTTACCTATCTAGTTCAATATTAGCAAAAATGTTCACCACAGGTAACAATTTTGAAACTGTAAGTCCAAATAAAAAATAATTAGTGATTCGTCGATTATTCTATGCCATTAGATTGTTAGTTTCATGTTTGGATAAAGTATTTTTAATTTGTAATGATTGTGTTGCAGATGTTAGATCCCCAAAATTCGCTTGTTAAATGCCTTAATTTTGGATTTCACATTTGCCAGCATGGGCTGATCAGTTCACCTTGAGATTTCATTTCCCACCACCAAGAAAATCCATGGCTGTGATTGGCTGCTGCTGGGAATTTAGTGTGCTATTTTCTTGACTGTCTCAAGGACGTTTCTATGATGTATAAATAAACGAGAGTTGTATGCTTGATCGTATTGTGTGATTGCTGAGTGTTTGTAGGATATAATTTCTACGCTTACAAAGCCTTTAATCTTCTGCTTGGGATTCAAGGTAGCCTATCTGGACGCCGGTTCATTATCTCGTTTGCGTTTATCAAATAAGGTGAACTCGTCGTAATAGCTTCAAGCGTACCTAGTGACGAACATATCAATGGCGACAGTGGTAAGTATTGATGAATTTGGTAGATAATTCTATTAACAAATTGTACTTATGTTTCATTTCACAAATCTATACTAACAAACGCATTTCAAGTGAAGACCGAAAGCAGAAAAGGCTGCTTATTCGCACCCTTTCTCATTCTGTTGCTGGTTGACTAGACTATGAAGGCATCACATTCTCGAGGGATTCAAGGAATACAGTGGACACTTTGGATGCAGCTCGACTATTTAGACGTCGCAGATCAAGTAACCTTTCTATCCCAAACACAACAACAAATGCATGTGTAAACTGTCGGTGTAGCAGCAGCCTCTTCAGTAGTAAGTCTCAATATAAACAAGGGGAAAAATAGGATCCTCCGATTCAATACAATATGCACCAACCTAATCACACTTGAAGCAGAAGTTTTGGGAGATGTGAAAATCCTTTACATACCTGGGCATCTTCATTGATAAAGAAGGTGGGTTTGATGCAGATGTAAAGGCTTGGATCGGTAAACCAAGGGCACTATTTCTACAGCTGGAGAACGTTGGGAACTCAAAACAACTATCAACTAACATCAATGTCATAATTTTCAATAGAAACGTGAAAATCATTTTATTTTATAGGTTGTAAACTTGGAGAACTACGGACCTCACTATGCGCATGATACAGGTGTTCATTAAGTGTTTTCTACATAGTTATTCAATTCGTTAGACACCATCAGAAACAACTTACTGTGGTACAGAATAAACCAACTTGCAGGTGAGTAGGAGATTAGGAAAAAAACACTGGAGGTAGATCACTGAACAAATCCAACTACCTCACAAGGTAAACTTTAACTTCGAATCTTCAAGACCAAAGAAAACCAGGAAAACGAAAGAACACATTACGTGAAGAATTGGAGACAAACAGGAAAAGAATAGCCAGTAATTTGCGTAGAACTGGAAATGAAGACCCAAGATAGAGTAATTTGCAGATTGCTGGTTGGCAGCATATGCTCCAATGGGTGTAGGTAAGTAAGTTAATAAGATGTGAAGAGTTTTACGTGATTACTTACTCAATACATTGTAATCATTTGTAAAAATATGTTTTGAAACTCAATCATATATATATATATATATATATATATATATATCACAGTTAGGACGCAGCTGGACGATCTGGACTTCGCAGATGACCTGGCTCTTCTATCGCACACGCAACAACAAATGCAAGAGAAGACAACCAGTGTAGCATCAGCCTCTGCAGCAGTAGGTCTCAACATACATAAAGGGAAAAGCAAAATTCTCCGATGCAACACAACATGCACCAACCAAATCACGCTTTATGGAGATGCCTTGGAGGACGTTAACACCTTTACATATCTTGGCAGCATCATCGACGAGAAAGGTGGATCCGATGCAGATGTGAGGGCACGGATTGGCAAAGCAAGGGCTCCATTTCTACAGTTGAAAAATATCTGGAACTCTAAACAACTTTCAACCAAAACCAAAATCACGATTTTCAATACAAATGTCAAGACAGTTCTACTGTATGGAGCGGAAACATGGAGAACTATCAAAGCCATCATCCAGAAGATACAAGTGTTTATTAACAGCTGTCTTCGTAAAATACTTCGTATTCGTTGGCCAGACTCAATCAGCAACAACGAACTGTGGGAGAGAACAAACCAGATATTAGTGGAGGAGGAAATCAGTAAGAAGCGGTAGAAGTGGATAGGACACACACTACGAAAAGCACCTAAATGCGTCACGAGACAAGCCGTCACATGGAACCCTCAAGGCCAAAGGAAAAGAGGAAGACCGAAGGTTACATTACGCCGAGAAATAGAGAAGGATATGAGAAGAATGAACCAACATTGGACAGAACTGGAAAGGGAAGCCCAGGACAGAGTTGGTTGGAGAAAACTCGTGGGTGGCCATTGTTGTATTGGGGGTAACAGGCGTCAGTAAGTAAGTACGGATACTAGGCACGCTCATGGTCGGAAGGCTGTGGAGGCGTCTGACCAATCTGGAGGATTAAGACTGAACGACTCTAGGTCCGAATCCCGTCCTTAAGCGTAGGTAAACTACCGAAAGGGATGTAGTAGGGTGATCGAGGGCGGCCCTGGACCCTATGTTCGGGGAAGCAGCCGCAGACATCCTGTACTACTGACGCCGACCCTATGTGGTTGTCCCTTACATGCTTCACTCGATGTAGTGTGTGAACTGGCGTCGAGGCCCCTTAAACAAGGGTCTCAAGTTGGGTTCCGGTGCTTTAGTGCTGAAAAGGGTGCTGAACACCAATGATGTCTGCCCACTTCTGTGGGATGAGCCCTGCTTGGCTGAGCGCTTGCGTTTGGTCGAGTTCATGACATCTTCCTCATGGAAAGGTGTACGTTCTAGCTGACCTTGTGGGACAAACTCGATCTTTAGCTTTATGTGGGGTAAGATGGGCCTCGATCGATTGTATCGACGCAGGGCAGTTGGAGGCCAGACGGTTGGAATGACTACTGGTTAGTGCACTGCTTGGGTGGCTCGGTAGCCTGCTACGGGGTGCCTTGTCCGGAAGGATAAGCCCGCCTTGCCGCCCTCGCCGATTGGGGATTGTGGGCTGTGGTTTGGTTGGTGGGATCTCTTGATTCATAAGTGCCTGTGCAGGGGCCACTGCTCGTGTGCGCGCTTTTTGGATGTCCGATATGTCTGCAGACCAACCCGGACAACATGTATGTACCCGAAAGGGGCAGGGGTGATTACTGATGGCATCAGTGAGAATCCTTGTGCTGTATATCAACGCAGCGATGTGCATGTGCAGCAGGCATATATCAAATAAAATTCAATTATTAATATTACTAGCATTATCTATATCTATTGTGATTGAATTATGTTCAATCATTATTTTTTTTAAAAAAACCAAACATTGTTCAAATCAATTTCTGAGATTTAAAAAATGAATAAATAATTCAATCAACCTAAGACGTACAAATAAAACGTACAAAAAAACAATTTTCATATTCTTCTTCTCGTTAAATTCTCTAAACAAAATTGTACAAAATAATCAACCAAAATTTGTTCAAAATTCAATAAATAAATTTCAACACACTACTAACACATTCAAATTCAAATCAACCAACTGATCCTACCTACTACTACTACTACTAGAAATCAACACATTTCTAACCAGTAGTAGTACATTGGATTGTAGTAGTTGAAAATAATAAAAAAGCATTGTTTTTTTTTCGTTTTATATTTTAAAAATATTAAATTTACCATAAATAATTTTTCTAAAAGCATTTCTAAAATCTGGTGCAAACACTGTATACAAGATTGGATTCAATAAGGAATTTAAATAACCTAACCATAGAAAAAAACTTCCAACTAATCGATGTGTATTACATTGAGTTGGACAAAATGGTACAATAAGTGCTTGCAGAAAAAATGGTAACCAACACAAGATGAAACAACCCGTGATAATGGACAATGTTCTCATTACTTTATTTTCACGATTACACTCTAAACGTTCACGATTCAATTCCATTTCATGCATCATCCTATTATTGATAGTGATTGATTTAGATTGGTTTGACTTGATTTTGATGCTATGGCATAAATTGTCGTTAGTTTCATTTGGTGTATTGTTATTCACAAGAGTTGGCGTTTCTTTCATGTTCAGCGTGTTCAATGAATCAATGGTCAGTTTGTTTATATGCATTAAATCAATTTTCTCCATTACAGGCGTATGATTTGTTTCTTTATCGCGGTTTAAACAAAATTTCATATTCTGATCAGAAATATGATTTAATGTAAAATTGATATTTCGTTTTATTTCATCAATTGAATTTCTGCCATCAATTGGTTTATCAATTATTGTAAATTCATCATGATGAAAATCATAACAAAATGGTGAATTTATTTGATACAATGATTGTTCATATGTTATCACTGATGAATGTGTACTACTGATTAAACTTTCACTTGATAATGATAATTTAACTGATTTTGGATATACTACTATTCCTTGTCTGTATGAATTTGTCAAATCGACACTGTTTTCATGATGAGAACAATCGGTTTCAGTGGATGATTTTATTGAATCTACTGACAAGTCAACAAAATAATCTTTAGGATATTTTAAATCATCATTCCAATCAATTGTTAATTCTTCAAAGTCGGTTAGTAGTAATACAGGACTTGTAATACAATATTCTTTGTCAGCCATCTTAGTTTCTGTTGTTATAACAGATTTCAATAATTGTTGTTGTATACTTGATTCAAATTCATTTTCATTATCGTTTAAATGTAATAAATTGGAATTGAAGATTGATCGTTCATAATCATTTGTTGATGAACATGTTGTATCTTTATTCAAAGTTGATGCAGAATAATTAGGAGTGTATTCATCATGTATCTCAGTTGTCATTGTTGTTGTACAACAAAATCTACACTTAGGTATACTCATCTGATTACTTATTTGTTCTGAAGGATAACACATTTCATTAAATTCTTTATTTCTTATTGACTTTTCTATGATAGAACAACATTCATTGGAACATTGAACAAAATCGCCATTCAAACAACAACAACCGCAACAGCAACAAAATGTGTTTACATTGTTCTCATTCAATGTTTCAATATTCTGACATTCATTTTGTTGATCTACAATGTTGTGTTTATTAAAACATTCCATTGTATCACCTAAACTACAACAGTATGGTGATGAAGTTTCTTTTTCTACATTACTTGATACAATCATATCTAAGTATTCATTACTTACTGACAATTGACTAGGTTTATTAAAACAACACTGTTTATTTAAACATTTTATTGAACATTTTTCAAATAAATGTTGACATCTGAATTTAAAATATTGATTACCGACAGTGTCAATAGCTTTCTCACGTATATTATTCAACTGTTCCAATGGGAATTGATTATTTAATGATGGTGTTGTTGACAATGAGAATGAATGTAACATGTCTAGTTTATTTTTTTTTTTCTTCTTTTTACGTATACGTTTTCTAGCAGTTTGATAAATTTTCACATAAATACCAATTAAAAATATCATTGGCAAATAGAATGCACCAACTGTAGAAAAGATCGTGAATGTATAATCTTTATTAATGGAACATTCATTGGATAAATTGTTGACATTACGTAATGTATGAAATCGAGTTGGTAATGAAATCAGCAATGATAATGCCCATACAATACTGATCATAATGTAGATTGGTTTTTTGTGTTGATTTCGACTATAATTCACATGTGTAATTGACCAATAACGATCAAGTGCAATGACTACTAAGTGTAGAATAGATGCAGTACAACAGAGGACATCCATTATTGTCCAAATATCACATAAAGCAATACCTGTCAAAGAAAAAAAAAATAAAGAACAATCATCAAATAGAGTGATGTTGTGTTATCATAGATAGAGAAAATAAATGAATACTGAAAATTGCATCAGTCAGTCAGTTAGATGCAACGTAGAACTTTGTACGTACGTACGTAAGTACATCAGTTCATGTTGCCATACCACATTATTAGCACACAGAGATGTAATTGTCAATTCATATCCATAGTAGAAGAGGTAGTAAAGGTATTAGAAGTAAACGGAGAGATTAGGATTAGAAGATATTATTCAAGAAGTATGATTCAGTGAGAAAAGTTTAGAAAGTCAAAACTAACTAGAGGGGTTGAAGAATGCAGAAGATTAGGATTTGAGAGAACACAAAGAGTAAATGCACTGGCGCCATTGCGAACGATTTTGAGCCATGTCATTCAAGGTCTCTAACCATCGATTATTATCATCTCGAGGACCCAACCAGGCAGTCGACAATTACCGACATGGCTCAGTCCACTCGTCAATGACTTCATGGTTTTCTGCCATGTTTTGGTTTGGCCACCCCTAACTTTCTTCCAACCTACTCCTACATCGTAAAACATAGCTCGTCGAGGCAGTCGGTGGTTAGGCATTCGTAACACATGTCCCAACCACCTCAACTGATGAAGTTTCACCACTTCATCGATTGATCTGCCATTCTTACCTAGCACCCGATTCCTAATAACAGCGTTGCTCACTCGAGTGTCCCACGATATACGAGCAATGCTTCGAAGATACCTATGATCGGAAACCAGTAACCTACGAATATCTTCTACTCTGACTGACCATGTTTCACAGCCATAAAGTAAGACGGAGCGAACTACCGCGCATCATACTATTCTGGATTGAATAAAAAAAATCAATCTTACTAGAGTAAGTTCATTTTTAGGGTTGTGTAGATTGTTGAGTTTCATTGATATTCAATGAGACCTAAAGTGCGCATCCACGACTCCTGCATCTCGTAGGATTCGAACCACGGGACCGTCGGTATTGTGTGTGACTAGCTTCCTTGAGGAAATTTTCGGAGTTCTAGTGACAGAAGACGTGACCAGTGGAGTTCAAACCTGTCGGGTATGTGTAGGCAGTAACTACCGAAGACAAATAGGTGAGGTCACGCAAAAATCCCTAGATCAATCAGAGTTAGACATTAACACCGTTAGATGCCGGCCCAGTGGTTCAATGGTTAGGCGTTCGCACACAAAACCGAAGGTCTCGGGTTCGAATTCCGAAAGATGCAGGAGTCGTGGATGCGCACTGCCGCTGATGAGTAGTCCCATAACAGGACAAAACGGCCGTCTTTCAGTTCTTCCAGGTTTCTAATGGTGGTCTAACCACAATGATTGATTGATGATTTCAAATGTGTAAGAACACTAATCTTCATAACTGTAATTGAAAAAAAAGAGACCGGAAGTCTCGATTTCGACTCCCCGTTTACAGGATTGTAGGAATCTGATACTAGATTGAAATTGGCCATCCAGAGCTTCTAAGTTTCTAATATCGGTCTAACATTGATCGGTTCATTACTTCAGTATAAGTATCGATTGTTTCTAAACACATAGAGAGACGTAGGTGAAGGTTGTGTGATTTTCATATGGTTATCGCTTCAATAAACCTTAGTACTCTACTCTGGTTAACTTTCATATAAAGCCGCATGAGTTGGGTTACGGTGAATCAAATGACCTTTGTTAATCGATAAAGGTGAGTGGTGATCATATGCTTTTGTGAAACCATTTGACTTACAACAAATGACCACTTCTATTCGTTGTAAATATGTGGCCATTCACACACACACACACACACACACATGAAAATGAGTAAACGTTGTGGGGTCGGACGTAATAATAATAATAATAATTTTGGTTGTATAGTACCTACTTATAACCGGCTTATATCTTTACTACAACATAAAGCTTTTTTTATTTACCCCTGTAAGGTAAGAGGTTAGTGTAGACCTTTTAAATGCCAGAATCATAATAGTAAGGCCTTCTATTGGTTTATGAATATCAATCGTTATTGATCCAGACTGATGTTTTATTATTTCGCGTCATTTTATCTACGATAATATCATCTGTACAGATATTGTCAATCTTATTGAGTAAGCTCTTTGAGGTCAACATTAGACCACCATTAGAAATATGGATAGACTGGATGGCCGTCTCTTCCTGGTATGGAACTCATCAACAGTAGTAACTCAATGATCTCCACAATCGTATAATGAAAATTATCATGAGCCTACTGGTGTCTAGCTTCGCAAGGAAGTTTCAGTCAGTCCTATTGAGAAGTTATGACCAGTAGAGTCCAACCCTGTTAAGGTTTGAAGCACAGGAACGAAGGTCTTGGGTTCGGTTCCTGTGAGTAACGGGAGACATGGGTGCACACTGCTGATGAATCCCACGCCAAGACGAAACGACCGCCCAGTGCTTCCATAGTGTCTAATGGTAGTCTAACGATGACTGATTCAAGATTTCAATAATGAATTCCAGACCGTCAGGTATAAAGGTTCTTACATCAAGCTACGTATACAAGCTAAAGCTGAGTCATTTTAATAAAAATTAATGCAATTTGATGACATTATAGTCATGACTTATAGTCATGTATCATTGACCACGACCAGGACCAGGACTCGGTCCCGGATCCCTACTTTGGGATCCTGATTCTCTTCTGGATTCGGACCTCGTACTTTCTGGATGCTTGTAGAATACAGGTTCTACTTCATATCACGTCTTATTATTTTTAGTAAATATGGGGTTGGGATAATCGGATTTGAGTAGCATGTCGTGTCGACGGATCCTCGCTCTCGTTTTCTGACTAGGTAAACCAGCAATAGTTCAAGTATATCAAGTTGACGTGTTTACGTGCAGGCGTGACAACCCAGGGGTTGAGTAAAATCACTGAACAAACCTAACACTGAATGGATGCAGTCATAAATTTGCCTCATCTAGACATTATCCATGTGATCTGTACGTTTATTGAGTCAATTAATTTAAAGTGAGCATAGTTTTGCTCAGATTACACTTGAACAACTCCACTGTATTCAAATGGTTGCTTACTTACCTACTTACTCTAGTTACCCCAACATTCTCTAACATACTCTGTCCTGGGTATTCCTTTGCATTTTTATCTAAATGTTCTTTATTCTTATCATATCTGTCTCCATTTCTCAGCTTAATGTGTTTTTTCAACTTTCTATCTTTCTTTTGCCCTTAAGCATTCCAAGGGATGGCTTGTCTTGTGACTCAATTTGGTACGTTGCTCAATGTTTTTTCCTATTCACCTCCAGCGTTTCTTCCTGATTTCTTCCTCCACTAGAATCTGGTTTGTTCTCTCCCACAGTTGGTGTTTGCTGATGGTATCTGGCCAACGGTTCCTCAGTAACTTGCGTACGCAACTGTTGATAAACACCTGTATCTTATGCATATTGGAGTTCGTTGTTCTCCACGGTATTCACGTTTCTACTGAAAACTGTAACTTCGATGTTGGCTGAAATAAGCGTTGTTCTAAATTCCAGATGTCCTTCGCCTGTAGAAATGCTGCCCTTTCTTTGTTAATCCGTGTCTTTCCGTCTGCATCAAATCAACCTTGTTTGTTAATGATGTATTATGCCTAGGTACGTGAAGGATTCTGACTCCTCTGAATCTTCTGCGTCAATTGTCATTTGATTGGTGCATATGGTTTTATTCAAATGGTTAGTCAGTTAGTGGTGGTCTAACGTTGATCGATTCATGGCTTCAAAAATGTGTAACTAAACAATCTTTACAACCGTAATGCAAATCACCTGTGCTCACGAGTGACTAGCTTCGTGAGGAATCTTCTCTGAGTTTTAGTGATGAGAAGACGTGACCAGTGAAGTTCAACCTGTTCGGGTGTAGGCAGTGTCTACTGAAGACTGTGTATGAGGTTGCGTAACTCCGTGAATTGATCGAAGTTAGACATTAACACCATTAGATCCCTGCTCAGTGGTCTAGTGGTTAGGGCGTTCACGCACAGCACCGAAGGTCCTGGGTTCGAATCCTGCGGGGTGCAGGAGGCGTGGATGCGCACTGCATCTGATGAGGCCCATAACAGGGCGAAACGGCCCCAGTCCAGTGCTTCTGGGTTTTTAATGGTGGTCTAACGTTGATCGATTCATGGTTCCAAAAATGTGTTACTTAACAATCTTCACAACCCCGTCGTCAATAGGAAAGGACATCATTTAAGAAACACAAAAATATGTGCCTCTTTTGACTATGTACTATTGAAGTGCACATTACCACTTACCGCAAATCAATATTAAATAAATAAAACTTTCATACGACTTCATATCTAATCACAATAACATTTGGGTTATTTAACACCAAGTGGTAGGTGGGAGTAAAAAAACACAACTGTTGTATACATTTTATTACTTATTTTTTTTTGAAAAAAAAACTTAGTAAATATGACCGACCTTCTAGGTAAATCAATCATTTAAAATCTCTTAATTACTGTGAAATACTGAGAGGATATGAAAATAATAAAAAAAGGTATACAAATAATCATAATTTACTGACCTTATGTGTTTTTTGAACGCATAACTAGTTATCAAAATAAAATGATTTGCTTCAATTTGTTGTGTTAATGGAGATTGTTGTGTTTTACATTGGAGTCATGAATCGATGAAGGATAGACCACTGCTAGCTAGAAACCTGGAAGCACTGAATAGCCGTCATGTCATCATCATCTATGGGACTAATCCATTGTGTGTCCGTTGGGTGAGGTTAACACCACTGGATGCAGGCTCAGTGATCCAGAGGTTAAGCGTTCGCGCTTACTTACTTACGTACGCCTGTTACCCCCAATGGAGCATAGGCCGCCAACAAGTTTTCTCCAAACAACTCTGTCTGTCTTAGGCTTCCCTTTCTAGTTCTTTCCAGTTTTTGCTCATTCTTCTTCTCATGTCTTTCTCTATTTCTCGGCGTAATGTAACCTTCGGTCTTCCTCTTTTCCTTTGGGCTTGAGGGTTCCATGTGACGGCTTGTCTTGTGACGCAGTTAGGTGCTTTTCGTAGTGTGTGTCCTATCCACTTCCACCAATTCTTCCTGATTTACTCCTCCACTGAAGGAATCTGGTTTGTTCTTTCCCACAGTAAGTTGTTGCTGATGGTGTCTGGCCAACGAATCCGAAGTATTTTACATAGACAACTGTTCATAAACACTACTATCTTCTGGATGATGCCTTTCGTAGTTCTCCAAGTTTCCGCTCCATACAGTAGAACTGTTTTGTCATGTATATTGAATATCCTGATTTTGGTGTTGATTGAAAGTTGTTTGGAGTTACAAATATTTTTCAACTGTAAAAATTCAACCCTTGCTTTGTCGATCCGCGCCCTCACATCTGCATTGGATACACCTTAGCTGTCAATGATGCTGTGTTTGCGCACAATACCGTATGTCCTGGGTTCCAATCCGTATATGCACACCGCTGATGATGAGTCTCATACTAAATGACGTTTAAATGGCCATCTTTCAGTGATATCAAGTTTCTAATGGTGAGGGGTGGTCTAACAAGAATTCATTTGTGTTGTCAAACTAAAATCATTGAAGTGTATATAATGTATATTTGCGAAATTACTCACCAAGCCACCATTTTTCTGAGACTTCATTTAAAGCACTGATTGGCATAACTAATGTTGCAACCATTAAATCAGCTACAGCTAAACTCAATATCAGATAATTAGAAACACGCTGGTAAAATAAAACAAAAGAATAAATCATTGAATAAAAGCGATAAAGTAGTAAATATTACTAGAATATATATATATATATATATATATATATATATATATATATATATATTTGAAATCATCAATCAGTCATTGTTAGACCACCATTAGGAACCTGGAAACACTGGAGGGCAGTTTCGTCCTGGTATGGTACTCATCAGTGTCAATGCGCATCCAAGATTCCTGCACCTAACTTTATACATTAACACCGTTGAATGCCAGCTTAGTGGTTCAGAAGTTAGGTGCGAGGTGCAGGACTCGTGTATGCGCACTACCACTGATGAGTCCCATACAAAGACAAAACGGTCATCCAATGCTTCCAGGTTTCTCTAATGGTGGTCTAACAATGATTGATTGATGATTTCAAAAATGTGAAAAAACACTAATATCCATAACTCTAGTTGAAAAAAAGTACGTATAAGTATATAATATCTATACTTACTTACTTACTTACTTACTAACTAACACCTGTTACCCCTAATGGAGCATAGGCCGCCGACCACCATTTCTCTAACCTACTCTGTCCTGAGTCATCTTTACTAGTCTATTTTTCTCATATCTGTCAAAATATTTAATTTCAGATTTCCTCCTATTTTATTTCAATCACACAAACCATTAAACAACCAATCAAGTCTTATCCATTACATAACAATTGAGTAATAATATCTGATAAATAGACATAATGTGGTGTACACTACTTATGTTCACATGGTAGTAGTATATAATATCAGACGGAAATCAAACGTCTGACAGCAAAAAATCGAGAAGGAAAGAATGAGAGAACAGAAGGCGATTTGTAGTGTAGGTAACGAACGTAAAGTGAACTGAACAGTCTGAACAGTCTAAATGAACACTGAACACTGAAATCTGAAACAAATAAGGATTAGTTTGCAAATGATGATTTCACCGGAAGATTTTGTACATAGGCGTACGCCTACAATGTCAAGGGTCCCGGGTTCGAATCCTGCGAGGAGCAGGAGTCGTGGATGCGCACCGCTAAGGAGTCCCATACTAGGATGAAACGGCCGTCCAGTGCTTCTAGGTTTCTAATGGTGGTCTAACAATGATTGATTGATGATTTCAAATGTGTAAAATACATAGTGCTTTAACATTGTGCTTTCCCACCTTGAAAATGTTAAAATCTATGTACAGACATCATGCCCTACAATCCAAAGGCATAAAAAAATTGTACAGTTGTATTCATATGACAAATTACAACAACTTACTTGTAAATGCCTATCCATTAAGATTGCAATGACAACAAACATATTGCCAATAATTGTACAAATTATAATCATACTAAGTATGCTAATTGTTAAATAAACATGAGATAAACTGTATAATGGTACAAATTTGACATAACTCAAATTTTCTCCTTGCATTATTCAAATGTAACAACACCATTTAGTCAAGTTATTGATGTACATTGTACCGAAAAGTTTAATGCATAACATCTTTCTGATAAATTGTATTTTTAACAGATATATTTCACATCCTGTGTTACATCTCTAAAAAAGATTGATCATTAAAAAGAAAATATGTTGTTCAATTTTTGTGTTGAATGATTTAGAATTAAAATTCAACATTTTCTTTGTTTGTAGTTCACGTAATTCAAGGTTATCTATGAAAAAAACACCAACAAACAGCAGAATACACTTTTAAAGAAATCGAAAATTCTGATTGGTTAACAAAAGTCCTTCATTTTAACCAATCATAATCAAGGATTTTCTGTGTTGTGTTTTTATTAGAAAAAATTAATTAGTTATCCTGATAGAAAAAACTACCTTGTTAAGTTTTTTTTTATTGATTAAAGCAAGTAGAGTATTTGCGCAATTAGCGTTTAGTGTATTCTATCTTGAATTGAATTATTAATTGACTGTTTTGTACACAAACATACACAGTTTAGACCGTAGCACATGATAAACTTTTATCAAAAAGTATCCCTTGACTATATTATCAATGTTCGGATTAGAGTAACCTGTTGTACTGTCGGATAAATTGATCCTCGCTCATGTTTACTGACTAAGGTGAACTTGTAATAGTTCAAGTATATCAAATTGACATATGAAAATAAAATAAAGAAGTAATTGGAAAAGTTTCAACTTATACTTTGTTCTGTTCTCAATTTGTTTTTCAGTTCATTTATTGTAAAGAGACTATTCGAATACTGATTGTTGTTTGATTATGTAATATTTAACTGACTATGTATATATCATACACCCAGAAAACTGTAACATTTGAAGGAAACGGGGGAGCACTAGACCTCCGTTTCGTCCTATGGAATGCGACTCATCAGCAGTGTGCATCCATGAACCCAGCTCGTGTGAATTGAATCTAGGTACTTTAGTCTTACACGTAAACGCTTAACCTATAGACCATTGAGTTGATATCCAACGTTTTAGTGTCTAACTTTGATCAATTCAAGGTGTTGTGTAACGAAACAATCGTCCAGTGCTTCAGGGTTTCTAATTTCGGTGTCACATCGGGTGATTCATCATTTCAATATAGATTTTATTTGTAATTTACTTGGAAGCACTGGATGGCCCTTTCAGGTATCCTTATGTGAGACCCTTCGGCAATGAGCACTGATGACCTCCGCTTGTAGAGCTCGAACCTAGGAATCGTTAATCTAACTGCACTAATACACAGATAACTGTAACACTTGTAACAACACTATAACAAATTGAAATAATGAATTGATCATTGTTAGACAAACCACCAGCAGAATTCTGGAAGCATTGAAATATGACCTATTTCGTCCTAAAGCATAGAACTCATCAGTACTGCCCATCAACGACCTCCACTTTTCAGTATCGAACCGACGAACGCTGAAGCTTTAGGCTACCGGGTCGCCTAACTTGAATCAATCCAACAAAATTATCTTATAAATGATTATTATTAGAAATTTTTACATTATTGTATGTTTTCATTCTGTCCTAATGACAATCTATTGTAATTTATCTTTCATAAATTAGTGTCAATCAATTTTTCTGAACTTATCGTTTATAATGCCAATTATTTGTATTTGAAAAAGTCTTATTTCTATTGTTACCTAGTCAGGAAATTACATTATCGATTTCAACAAAGATTGTATTTATCTATTTACTTGTACTATTATTGTCTTCAGTTTGATAATAATGTTATAGGCGTAAAGAATTACCAATGTATGGGTTCATGAATTAGTTTGTAAAATTAGGTCATTGATTCTATAGACTTTAAGAGAAAAAAAAAACGATTCAACATTATAATTTAGATTTAATAAAAATGACACAATTTTTTCCGGTTATCAATACAATAGAAAGTGTAGTGAAGGAGAACACAGATGAGGGCAACTGAATTACAGAGTTACTCAGTAAACTAGGAAAACCATATCGTAAACGGTTAATTTGCAAATCTTCAATCCATCATCATCAATCCATTGTCTGACATTTCACTCACTATTCATGCGTTTCATACACAAATTCCATTGTGTTCCCCCCACTCTTCCTTTTCCTTGATCTTCCCCCATCCTCTTCTGCTGCCAGACATTATGTTTTCACTCACGTCATATACTACTTATAAGTAGCGCGCACCACAGAAAGAACTTATTCTGTATATGGTGTTGTAACAATAGTACAAAGTTTACACATTAATAATGTTTTTAATTTAAGTGAACAGAGACTTTTACTGTGTAAGAAACAATGATTTCCATGATACTACTATAAAGCACTATCAAAATAATTGTTCACTAGTGACTGACTATTAGCTTCCTGAGGAAATTCTTGAAGTTCTAACTTGGGGGCAGCAGTGACAAGTGAAGTTCAGCTGTGTTAAGTGTAGGCAGTAACTACTGAAGACAATCGGTGAGGTTGCACAAGATCCTTACATTGATCAAAGGTAGAAATCAACACCGTCAGATGCTGACTCAGTGGTCCAGAGGTTAGGCGTTTGCGTGAAATCCGTAGGTCTTACGTTCGAATTCAGCCAGAAGAAGTAGTTGTAGATATGCACTGCTGATGAGTCCCATACTATAGGACGAAACAGCCATCTTTCAGGGCTTTCAGGTGTCTGTCTAATGATAATCAAATAATGTTTCATTCATGATTTTAATTTAGAGTTTGGAATCTTGATTTCATTTATTTAATAAATAGCCATTGAATATTATTAAACAGGGTAAACCTTGAAGCCTCCTATTGTAGTGGACGAGAACACAGGTGGGGCAACAGAATTGTATTAAGCGAAATTACAGAGTTACTCAGTAAAATCATCGGAAAACCATATCGTAAATTGTTCATCTGCAAAATATCAGTTCATCCTATCGAACTGGACTGTTCCTGTTGCCAAACATCAATCCATTGTCACTATTCATGCGTTTCTTGATCTTCCCCCATATTATGCTGCCGGAAATTACGTTTTCACTCACGTCATATGCTACTTATAAGTAGCTCACACCACACTCGTCCCCCCTTTTAATAAGCTGTTGTCACTTTCAAAACAGGGCCCCTGGTCAGTTAATATCACTTCCCGTATTCCGTGACACGCTACAATATGCTGGATTACCACTTCGGTCATCGTTCTTGCGCGCTGGTCTGGAATGGATACGGCATCTATCCAACGTGTAGCGTTTACCAGTTCCCGATGCTGGGACTACTACTACTTATAAGTAGCTCACACCACACTGTTACCGGAGCTTTGTAAATAATGCGTATGAAGTAAAAGTGAGTTATGAATTGTTATTGATTACCAGACAACCAGCACACATTTTAGACTGGTTTGTGCAAATAATTGCTGTCATACTGTAGTGAAGGAGAACACAGGTCAGGGCAACCGAATTGTATTTAACGAAAATTACAGAGTTACTCAGTAAAAAAGGAAAACCATATTGTAAACGGTTAATTTGCAAATCTTCAATCCATCATCAATCTATTCGTTTCATACAAATTTCCTTGTGTTCCCACTCTTCCTGCCTTTCTTGATCTTCCCCCATCTTCTGCTGTCAGACATTACGTTTTCACTCGCGTCATATACTACTTATAAGTAGCGCGCACCACAATACGTCTGTCAACCAATACAAGTTACAGTTTTGTATACAAACGTGAAAACCGTTGTATGGGTTGGACACTTGTAGATCTATGAACGCAATCACCCACAAGGTAAAGGTGTTTATTAATGATTGTCTATACAAGATACTGAGGATTGGTTGGCCCAGCAAACTACTATGGAAGAGAACAAACCTAATTCTTGTTGAGGAATAAATTAGGAAAAAGCATTGTAGGTGTATAGAAATCATATTTTAGTAAGCATAAAACTACGTTACAAAGCAAGCGTCATGTCAGAAGGAAAAGAGGCAGACCAGAGAACACAGTACGCTGAAATTCGGATATAGACAAGAAAAGAATGAATAACAATTGGGTAGAACTGAAAATTAAGGCTTAAGAAAATGTTGGTTGGAAAATGCTGGTCAGCGACAGATGTTCCACTTAGAGTAACTGGCGTAAGTAAGTAAGTAAGTTGAACATTTATCTAAACTTCACATAATAAAATAGACCGAAAATTTTTGAACAGGTATATAAATCATTACAATTTTCAGTTGTATGCAATGTATGTGAAACCGTGAAATAGAATAATGAATTCATTACATTCCGTCAAAATGTTTGATCTTGTTTTGTTTAAACTACTTAATTATCAGTCAGTAGTATATAACACATTTCTCATCCATCACTCAGTGATTTACTCACTAGATGACACAACAATGAAAAAAAGTTAGTATAAACAATAATCAATATTAGTATCGTTGCTCATTTACTCTAGAAATAGTGTAATGAATCAAACAATTTCCCTTCTGAGATTCTACAGCTTCAAAATATGATGTACTTCTGGAAAGAAGTCATAACCAATACAGTTCAATCTATGCTTGTGTCAGGCAGTTTTCCAATGCAGTCAATCGATGAAGGTTGCTTGACATCATGGATTATTTGAATTTATACAATAAAAATAACTGTTCAATGTTGACTAAGTTGTTTTAATGGTCAAGTGTTCTATGATAAGACGTAGGTTCTAGGTTTGAAGCCACATGTAAAGAGCATTGGATAGGCATTGCTGCTGAAAAGTCCTATATTAGAACGAAACAGTTACCCGGTGCTTTTAAGTTGACAGTAGTCAATTAACTAAGATGAGTTCTTGAATTCAATTTTGGTGATTAACAACACTCTTTATAAATCCTTTTCAGTAATATTTTCATGTGCGTGATTTTTCTTAAATGAATCGATGGCTTGTACAATTTTGAAACAAGCTACAATGTTATGATCTAGATTTTACTTCTCTACTGAGTTATTAGGGAAGATTTTTTTAATGTGTGTAAATGGAATGTTCTTTATTGAAATTATGAATCACTCGTTGTGAG